GAGTTAGTTTCTTTGGCATTAAACTGGAGATAGAACATCATCTTTCCCCTGTCCAGCCTGCAGTGGTAGGTGCCTTCCCTTTTTGACAAATAACAACCCTACTAGCCCTAGGGAAACAGTCAGCTACAATCAGTAGAAACATTAGCATACATATAAATATTTCCAATCACTTATATTCTTTTGTACAAAGTTTTATGGAAAACATAAAGCATATTTCTGTCTCAGAAATTAGCTGCAAATGATAAAGGATGTATTGGATGAATAGTTACTAAAGTTTAAAAAAATACCTAACTTTTATCAGATAAATTTTAAAAATTTGTGGTGGAAGCTTCTATCAGATACAATGACAAAATAGATTTAAGGCCCTTTAAATTAATGGTTTCCAATTTTTTCCCAAGCTCAAGTCTGGCATGTGAAATCTGTTTTAAAAGTATTACATTTTGAATTCTCCATTTACATGTATGCCTAAATTTTTTTTCTAAATATCTGCATTTTAGTGAGTGGGTTTACAATGGTTGTGTCAAGTTCTTATCTAGAGATACCATAAGAAGATATGTTTGAAAATAACTAAGAGGATACCTTCTGATGACATCTTCTGATTGTATTTTTGTGCAGACAAAAGGCTGAATTTGACTAGTCTATACAAACTCTTAGAACCTAATCCCAAATCTACAGATTTCAGTATAACAAGAAATATCACGTATCTTTCTCTACTAATTAACATTGTGATAATTTTTTTGGTTAATAAAGGGCATTTTATGCACAAGTTTAACTTGGTTTCCAGATATGTAACTGCAGTAGAAATCTGTTGTTCTGCTCCTTGATGATTTGCCAGTTCTGCTGACAATTTGTTTGCTGTGTCATATTCCATTAGACTTGTCAGTTCTCAGTGGGGTCACTACTGGAGTATTTAAATTTTAAACAGAGAAGCACTTAAGAAGAGCATTTCACTTAGAGATAGATATGTTTCAATGCAAATTATACTAGAGGACATAAGTAAATTTATTTTTATTTTCAAATTTAGAGGTTGTTCAAAACTCCATGGGCTAGGCAATTTAAAATGTTGACTATAGAGTCTCTACTCTGCAAAAGAAGGTTGATCTGTTTCAATGAATCAGCAAAAATGCAGTTACTGTGTAGCTAAAGTGGCATGGCAGTTTATCCAAATTAAAGGTTAAATCACTGTTATCAATTTCAGTGTATAGAAAACTCCCCATCTTCCCTAACCCACTAGTTTAGGTATGTCAATCTTTTAAAGATATGAGAGATTAAAATGCAACAGGTTTCAAACCATGTTAGATTAAATCTGTACTAAAATGTTGTACTGATTCAAGCTCTAAGAAAAGATGCAAGAAAGCAATGGAATAGAAGGCTGTACGTGTCAAATCTTAATTGAAGCTGTTTTAGAGAAAAATATATGGCACTGAGTTTGACAGCCTGAGGGAGATGAGGCTGCTGCTGCTGTTCCATACCCCCAAGTCCAAGCAAAGATGAAGATATATTCCCAGTAGGCACGTACACATAGAGAAAGCACATACACACAACACCAGATATATACTGAGTTGTCCACACAGATCACAGACACTCAAAGCCTTCCCATGAACACGAACAGCACCAGGGGCCTCATTCTGTCCTCTTCTCTGGCTGGACAGGATGAAAGACCACCAGTGATAATGGACACACCCCATCTATTCATGCACTCATAATAGAGAAACCATTCCCAGCAAAGAGTTAGAAAGGAATCTAACAAGACGACAGGACAAATGGTGTTCATCAGACACAGAATATAGCCAGATAAATTTATTACCCAGCAAACTATTTACATGTGACTGGCCCTTTTATCCCTTTTTATCTCCATTTCCCCTCTATCACCTAAACTCCTCACTTGTCTTCCTGATGGTTTCTCCCCTAAACATCAACTAAGTCCTTTGCTATCCCAAATTCCTTTTCTCCAAATCTTATAATTTGCTCTACATGCCTAAACAGCAATCCCCAGCATTACACAGAAAGATGATTTTTCCTTATGAATCCTTGTTTCGAATTTCTATCTGCCACTATACCCCCCTGTGCTACTCTGGGCCTGGACAGATGGACCTTTGAGGGTCTGATTGCCCTATGATGGGCCTGGGTAGGTCTGTCTGTTGGGGTATTGTTTGGGCTAGTATTGTTCTTCCAGTGTCTCTCTGAGCTCTTCTATGGGTGTGAAGATGAAATTTGTCATATAACTTAACAGGGCAACTCAGCAACACACTGACATGGAGGTTTTTGCTTCTTAAAACAGCATTATAAGGCTGGATTGCACATTAAGTCCTCATGCTTCCCTATAAGGGGTTCCAGTATTTGTCTAGAAGTGAACAGGAAAAGCACTGCAATGCAAAATGGTGCATTTTCAAGTGCATGATTCAAAGACCACCAGCAAGGGGAGGATTTTTATGAACCCATGTATTGCCAATTCAAAACTTTTTTTCAGCTAGAAAGACTCCATCAGATATAATGAGATGCTAATTATTTCAATCTGGAAAAAAACCCCAAACTCAAAAGACAACAAAAGAAAATCTTTTCAAGAAACATATATCCCTATGTTTTAAATAAAGGTCAAACAAACTGCCTTGATCTGATATTATGTCAGAGTAATAATTAAAATACTTGAAGAAAGCATAAAGTTTAATGGCCAGGATTTTATTTTTTTTTTTTTTTTTATAATATAGTGTTGGCTGAAATAATTTATAGAGGTGTAAGGGAGTTTGCCCTGTTGTAAAAATATGAAAAATTCTGCTTAAAAATCAAAGAATATCAGGGTAGCTGAGCAGTTACTTATGCTTCTTATCATTAGGGAGAGTCAGAATAATGCTGATTTATCTGACAGAGGATTTTCCTGTAATCCTCCCCATATTCTGTGTATGTTTGCAGAACACAGTCACCTGAAAACTGATAGGCTGATAAATTTTCATAGAACTGCATTCTTCATTGGGAGAAAAAAAAAAAAAAAAAAGTGGGAATTGGGTCTAAGGAGAAAAGCCTTAAAAAGAAATTGGGGAAAAAAGTTTAAAAAGAAAAAACCTTTCAGTTTCCTCCTCCCAGCCTTACACATCTTAGTTACAGAGTTACTCAGTTATCTAGACACCACGGGTGTTTCCTCATTAAAGTCAGGGAAATTTCATTGAAATATGAAATTTTATACAGTATTCAGAATACATACAGTAAATTCAATTAAGTGTTGATACCTGTCAGTAGCAAATACACACTCTTTACAATACTGCAATAAATTATTTATTAAATTAATGTTTAAATGCCTGGAAAAAAAATCGGGACAGGATGAAGATAAATCTGACTTTCAAGAGCTTTTGCAATTCTATCAGGATTAAATCCATGTTGAAATGAAATATGCTTTCTCTGCAAGCACCTGCTTTAAATATTTTAAATTAAAGTGGTTTATTCTTGAAGAGTGAAGGATATTTGGTTGTGGGTTTTTTTTGGTTTTTTTTTTGTTTTTTTTTTGTTTGTTTGTTTGTGGGGTTTTTTTTGTTTTGTTTTGATCACAGCTGAAATTGTCAATCTTCAACAGTGGTCTTTTGTATCAATTTATAAAAAAAATCACAGCTGAAATTGTCATCATTTAAGAAGGTACTCTATCAGTCAAAATCAAAGAAAAATAGGCAAAACAAAAGTAACAGAATGAAGGCTAGGTTGAGCAGGCCTTGGAAGGAGTTTTTATAAGCTTGTATAATACATGTTATTACAGGCAAAAATTACTGTTCACAAGAACTTTGGTATTGTAGTGGGAAGATAGAAAGATGCCACAACCCATATGAAGTACCTGGTTATGTTCCCATGTTGAAGTTCCTTGTTCCCTTCTAAAATAATTTATTTTTTTTATAAAACAAACCTAAATTTTTCATCAAATAAGTTGTATTAAATGAAAGTCATATCAAACACACTCAAAAAAATTATTTTCTGATTTATGTTCTTTGTCAACTTTGTTTGAATATAATGTTCTTCCTTTGTAGGCAGCTTCAGTTATTCTTTTAGACCATAAAGTACACTATAACTGAATAAAATCAAGGTTTAAGAATCTTACCCATTCCTTAAAATAATTGAGGTAGTTTTTAAATTCAGTTGTATGCAAATATCAAAATACAAATATTAAATATACCTGCTTTTCAAACAGGTAGGAGTCAATCCTGCAGGCCTTGGAACTTTGCTGGTTTTCAGTGAAAGCTCTTACAAGTACAGAAAACTTAGACATAGTGAACAGGAACAGGACACCTTCTAACACATATAGTCACATATAAAATGTTTCTCTTTAGGCAGCACTCAGATTAATCCCATGCCCTACCATGCACATATACACACAGAACAGCTTTATTTGTATTGTTGATGAAGTTTATAACCCATAGCAGAGGTTTTGTATTTTTGCTTCTGCAATTACTGATTGTACAACTCACGTAACAAATTGTGGACTAACAGCTCAAATGTCCAATCCTCAGAAATACAAACAGAAGGTCACATTATATGAAAATTCAGTCCCTTTGTCAATAACGGATCTGCTCATTTGTAAGGCATTAAGTATGTTTGTAAGTATTTGCAGGGTGCAGGATCCTTCCACATAAATTCAGAGTATTCTTTACAAAAGAATTCAAGAAAAGGTATTTTTAATAATTTCTAGAAAATTGGCAGTATGGAATTAAGTGCTTCTTTGACTCTTTCAGACATCAAAATTAATTCAGTACATAATGCCAAATACTTCTGCAATTGATTTACAGGCACAGGAAAAGGATTAATAGCCTTTTTTCCCAATTATTAAGGTTGAGAATAACTCAGAATAACAGATCTGCCTGTTGCCTCTGGGCACATGCAATTGAAAAAATTATTACTGAGGAACTTACTGCCACATTCCTACCAAGTTCTTTAAAAATACCTTTTGTGAATGCAAGGATTCTCAGTTTCAGTGGAACTCACTGTAATATTAATTTGTAAAGACAACTCTCTTTTATTTTCAGATTCACGGCCTCTACCAGATGTAGCCCTAACAGGGAAGTGCACCCGAGAATGTGATGAATATGGCCACTCAGACTCCTGCTGGATGCCAGTCCGCACTTCTCCGGAGAGAAAGCAGAAGAGCCAGCCAAAACTCTCCACTTTCATGCCTGTTGATGAACGGGGCAGTCAGGAAAAGCTGGCCAATGGAGAAGCCTCCCTCATGGGTGACCGCAACAGAAACCTCCTTAACAAAAAGTTGACCTCATCCTATGAGACCTTCAGCACAGCTAGTTTCAGCAAAAATGAAGAAGGCAACCCAGAGGATATCCCCCTTACACAGACAGGGGAATACAAGCCATCTCCTGTCAACACTCTAACTAGAAGAGAAGTTTACCTGTAGGCTAAAAAGCAGCAACAAAGTTCTTTCATAATATAAGAAAGAAATGGGGCAAAAGTCTTAAAATCACAACAATTTTAAGAAAAAATGTGAAACAATAAAGAGGGGGCCACCAAAGAGACAAAAGATCTGCCTGCCACTTCTGCCTCCATAGCAGGCATGTAATTATGCTGTCTGCCTGACTATACTGTACAATGTAGAAAACATTGCTGTTACTTGCATGTCTAATTCCCCCTCGCTGATTTTTATTTTCCTAGATCTATGGTTGCAAATTCCTCCCATAGTAGCAAGCTTGATTAAAAAGAACACGACACACTGTTGTTTCCCCTCTGCAGAAGCATGAATTAAGCCACTCACTTTGTTTGTTTGTCATCTGGCTTGTTGAGGATAACAGGTCAGGGAAAATGTATTCAAAACATACCATCTGAATATTGCTGATCCCCATCAGGGACAATCCTTCAGAAACCATAAAGATATAGGATAAATATAAAGGAATAATCATTAATAGGCACTTTGTGAAGACCACAGCTTTAATATTCTCACCTCTCATCTGAGGCTGGAAGCAACAGAAATACATTCAGCCTGAGACTGCAGTCAAAAACATGGCATACTTTCCCGTGATTCATGGACTCTGGTTCTGTTTTATCCATTGAACAAACCTGTCTTGCTGTGTCTCTTTCTCTCTTTCTCTCTTTTTCTCTTGTTCTCTGTAATGATTATTTCAATGTAAACACAACTACTAACACTTATACCATAGGATAGCAATGATATACTGTTGAAATCATTATTTTGGGCAAGACTAACATTTAGCTGGGAAGATTGTAATAACAAAAAGGCCAAAGATCACACAATGGATCAGGGGAACTGCTAAGTATTGGGGCTTGACTTAGAAAATAAATACATTCACAAAAAAACACATGTACTCATAACAAAGCTTCAGTTACATTCTATGCAGCAGCACAGTTCACAAGCCCAGATGACAAATTTTTTTCCAGTGTGGTTCAGTTGAATGCCCAAAGGAACTAATGCTTTTTTTGTAATGACATGATACATTGCAGCACATGCTGCATATGATATGCTGCATATGCTAGTTCCAGGGAATTTTTAAGATCAAAATTAAAAACTAATAGTAGAAGAGAAAGCCATGTTAGTGGGAATGCTTGATGGGAGGGAAAAAGGTGGACAATGGGATAATGCAGTAACAAGAGGACATTACAACTCAGATATAAAAGCTTCTTTTCAGATTGCAAGGCATGGTTGCTTAGTCTGGTCATCAGTGTTGCAGCTTATCAACTGCTTCAATTATGTCAAAAATGATGATAATGAAAGCTTTCTTGAAACCAAGTGCATTAAAACCAAGAAAAGTGCAATACTAAATGATATCAAGACTCAGAACATTTAGCATTAGTACAAAATGGTCTGATAAACAGTGATATGATACCTAGGAGGTCAAGAGGAGTTAAAAGGAGTCCAAGCTATGATGTGCAAGAGCTGTAACAATTATCATTGTGAGTGCTTCTTGAAAGGAAGAGGAAATGAAACAGGGTTTTGTGCAATAAAAGCAACAAAACATGCAGAACATCAACCAATTGCTTTGTAGTTGATGCTGTATTAATAATCACAGACTGAGCTCAGACATTCAGACAAATGTGACAATCAAACAACACAGCAAGGACAGCCCAAGGACGGAGAAAGCATTCAGATCCCTGGCTGTTGAACTGGTGTGAAGGCATGGCTAGATGGCTCTCTAGTAACTGTAGTCATAATGTAGCTTTGGGTAGTTTCTTGCTTTGAAGAATTGCATAAAAATAACCTTAAACAGCCTAAGGTAGTGGTTGGAAAATCAAAAGGACTCATCACATTTATCTTTTGAATTCACTTCTCCGTATTGTGGGTTGTGCCATTACTGGCCTTTTCATTCTCCTCTTTAAAGTTTACTTTCTTCAAGTAACATTAGTTTGTGTATAGCAGTTATGATGAATGGGCACATTTTAGAAAGAAATTATTAAAATCAAAGATTATTAACGATTGAACACTTTTATGTTTAATTATTTAAGTAATACGGGGAGATGCAAGCTAGTACTTTGTTATGAGACTGCGTATAGCAGTTACTGCTTTGTATAATCTGTAAGTACCTGTTTAAAAATGCTTCTAAAAATGCTTATGTAATGTAAACACATTTTTCTTGCACGTTTCAAAAGAATACACAATTGCATAACACAAATGTTCAACAGAACTTCCTTTAATAAGATTTTATTTAATATTACACACAAGAAAATAAATTAGGTAGCTGGGTTCCATATATTCTTAGACACTTTTTCTACAAGGCTAATAATACAGGTCATAATAGACCTTCAGATTAAATGGATCAGCAGTCACTTACCAATTTTTGCACCACATAAGACAGTCATGAAATAATTTTCTTGTGTGCATCTCCTTAGATCTAAAATGCGTGAAAGAATTTTTTTAAAATTCTATCTACTGTAAGTATTCACAGTAATTCTTGTGGAACTGGCCACTATTAATATGCTGATTACTCTTCTGACCTGGCATGACATACAAATATATTTTGTGTTTGTATTTTTCCTCTTTATTTGAAATAGGTTAAATCTGGTGCCACTCCATAAATAGAGTGCTTTTGTATAAAAAATAAACAAATAAAGCTATAAAAAATAATTAGGGTGAATGCAACATATGCAACTGTGCCTTTTATACCTATTATTATGGTAAAGTGGTAGTTGGGTTTGGACACTGAGGGGTAAGGGGCTATTCCCAACTTTTTTGAACCTGTATATTTACCTGTGTTTATTTTCTGAGAAATTATAAATAATATATTTAAAAACAAGCCTTTTGCCAAACTCAGTTAATGGACCAGTCTTAAGCATTATTAACACAAGGCTGTGGTTTAAGTAGGTCTTGAGGATTTTTTTAATTACTATTTGTGTGGGTTTGGGGTTGTTTTAATTTGTTTTTACTTCTGCTGCCTGGAAAAGTATGATCCGTCTATATGATAGTTATTTAGCAAGGTGTCACCAGTTCATGTTGCCCGGAAAACTGACAATTTTTTTAATAGCTTTTAGCCTTCATCACATTTTATTTGTACAGTATAGAAATCATCTTTTTCTTTCCTTCCATGGGAAACTCAAATGAGCTTTGCATGTATCTTACATTAGGGCACCTTTATAGATTGATGCGTTAATATATAACTTTATATGTATTAGAAAGTTCAATAGCTTTGGTCTAAAATCTAAGGCTTATTCCAGATCTCAGACCCACTATGTTTATTGAATATGGTTTCTGACTGGCCTGCTGCCTGAGTTTCAGGAGAAAAAGTTAAACATTATTTTTATGTGGGGGAAAAACTTAAATGGGATTGAAATGATTGGCTGAAAGGCTACCCTAGAAGTTGTCAAGCAGAAAAATCATGAATACGGATAAAGACCTTGCCAGAAATCCAGCTGTCACCAAATACTTGTAAGGAAGTTGAACAATGAAATATTTTTCTTTCTGTTTCATTGGTGATAAATACACAGAGTTTCCTTAAGAAAGAAGCAGATGAAAAAGCAATAGAAATGAAAGCCCATCTGTTAAGTTGAATTACTGACTGAAAGAGCGTAAGCACTAGGAAGAAGACAACATTCACCAGCTACCTGGGGTATGCTTTCAGACAACTTTTCCTAAATTTTAAAGCACTTGCATTCAGTGTGGTACGATCTGTTTGTAATAATAATCATTGACTATTGTTCTGCAACTTGGATGTTGATAGTGAAGCAGAGAACAATTTATCATTGTTTATTATGAGTCACTATGCACGCAACTATGCTAAACATGGCAAAATGTATTAAACGCTAGTCCACCTCTATTTATGAAATATTTACATAATTTAATTTGCTTTTGTACAGTTTTATGTAAATAAATTGCTTGTCATTTTTGTCTCTGCAAATTAAAATATAACATGTTCAACTGGTTGCCCATTTGCCAGTTTACTTTTTTGGACAGTCTATTCCAATTTTACTAGATTAAATCACATGCTAGCTTCAATATTCAATGGTATTTTGAATAACAAAGATAACACTGCCTTAGTTATTGGCCACAGATTCAGCTGCAGAGGTAGCTGAGGTTTTTTTACCTGTCTTCAGAGTGAAATTTGATATAGGCAAGGCTACTGTCACCCAGGACAGCGCACAGCTATTTTCACAGCAGAGAGTACTTGTAACCTGAACAGTTGTTTCTGATTACTCTTTAAAAGGGCTTATTTTTAAAATGTGTTCAAAACCTTCCTATTAGGTGGAATAACAAGCCTTTAGTAAAAGTCCATGTACTTCCATTACAGAATGGCAATTTTCTTATTAACAACAAGGCTGCTTTTTTTTCCAGGTTTAGAACTATTAACACATCCTAAAATGTCAGTAGAGCATCTATACTGAGAAAAACAACAGAACAACACAATTAACGCAGAATTTCAGGGGAAAAAAAGGAAACAAGAGCCTCCAGTTCTCTCTGGCTGTGAATCAAATTATCCATCTCAGCATAATTGTAAATCAAGAATGAATCCTCCTCAAGAAGGAACATCTGAGAAGCAAGAGTTTATTCCTTAGCTGTCTGGATCACACATAGCTTTTTTTGTCTTTGTTTGTTTGCTTGTTTATTTTAAAAGAGCAGGCTCCAAAACAGCCATTAAATTGGGATTTGCATCTGTTATAACATGTGAAAAAAGTGTTTGTGGGGAGAGGGATCGAAGGTCAAAACTCCTTTCACCGCTCTGTGTTATGCAAAATACAGAATTACCACAGAGACCTTGGAAACCATTGAATACAATTTCCCAGTAAACATCACAGAAAAAGCCATTTATATCCTTTTACCTCAGTTACAAATTAGGCTTTGGTTTTTGTGAATACAAACTGGCCAGAACTTTTTATAAAATAAACTTTACATTGCAAATTTCTTTCTCTGAATGTGCTTTAAGTTAACATTTTTAGTCTGCTCTAATGAATGTGTCAAAG